CCCTCCCTCCCCCCCCCCCACGCCAGTTGATGTTAGAGTCCAGATCAATCCAGTGGCCAGCTAGGCTGATCACGGGTAGGGAGGAGCCGGGTTCCGTAAGTCACAACACGATGCTCCAGGGGAAGTCTTGGCAGGACAAACCCAAAGTTTCAAGGCAAGGCACCCTGTTTATATAGTGATTTTCCTTCATTGGGACCAATGAGTTTTGCACCGTCTTGCTGTAATTAATTGTTGTTTGACGAGTACTTATTTCCTATTCATCCTGAGCCACAGACAGGTGTGATTTTTGGGAGTGAAATTGGGGAGAAGTAAACTGGTGTAATTTTTCTAAAGGGCTCAGAGTTGGTCTAATTCTGCTCATGTTGAAATCAATTAAATAGGAACAAAATTAGACCAATATTGAGCACTTTTGAAAATCCCATCCCACCCTTATTCTTGCAGGTGAATTAAAACAAAGACAAATGTTTATTTTAAACTATTTAGGGCAATTGGAATGTTAGAACTCAGACCTGGGGAGATGAACTAATAATTAGAGGGTAGGTGAAGCCATCAAAGCTGCATTTTAAATGTATCATATTATTTTAAAAAGTATAATTGGGATATTACTGCCAACTGTATATATAAGCAACTTGCAAAATTCCATTCTTCTGGGCCAAGTAATTACTTCTAAAGGAACTCTAAACTCTATTAAAATCAGTCCTAACTATAAAGGGCAAAGAAATGAATTTTGTGGATGGGCTGGAAAATTTTCACAACAGTTTTGCAAGGCTGGCAATATATGAAATAAAGGAGCCTTATTAATTTGTGAAGTGCACAAAGAAAAGTTTTCTTTGCCTCTGTTAAAATAAAGCATTAACTTCTCTCGATAAATCTTTCCCTCAAAGTGGGAAAACGGGCTGATAACTTCCTGTTCTATGTGGTCATTTTTGGTCTCTTTTCAATTTTGTATAGGCTTTGGTTTCCAGATTTAGGAGTGTTTTCCTCCTATTTTGTTTGAAGGTTGTTTGATTAGAGGACTTTTTTCATCATTTCTTTTTCCTAGTTCATCCTGTTAATTTCTTGTTAAAGAGAGAGGACTGAAGGAGGACAATGCACTTCTTCAAAAGCAATATATCTCGTTATTTTTCATTCTCTGTTTTTTGGTATAAGTAAGATGTTTTAAGACCTGCATCCTGTGGGATGCACCCACCTCTTCAGAGGCTAAGAGCCTATCATCAAGGCTGTCATAAGAAACCTGAAGTTCATTTCAGATCTTTGGGTTATAGCTCATCAAGCGTCAGACCGTCAGCATTTTGATTTGGGGTAAACTTGAATTTAAAACATAGGCATGAAAGTCAAGTCATCTGTGTTCTGTTCCCATCTCTGACACATACTTGCCTTTTTTCTTAGGACAAATTACTTAACCTCTCTGTGACTGATACTCTATCGGTATAAAGGGAATAATAGTACTTTGAGTGATTGTAAACATGATTCCACTCATGGTGTTCATTTACGTGAAATTGGATTTTTCTGGCTATCAGAGTCCATTGGGGCTGCTCCTATACCCTCCTCAACCCACCCAAGGTCATAAAAGGCAGAGCAGACCC